GCTGTACCAAACAGGAAAACCAACAGAAAGTTCCCACTGAAACTGTAATCGCCACATTCGCTGGAACAGATCGCCCTTCGGAGATCAAGGCATGGCCGCTTATCTATAAGGTCGAAGCTTTGGCTCCCCTTCCGCTGCAATGTGCTAAATATTGGCGCTTTGGACACAGTACTAAAGGTTGTCCATCGGAGACTCGATGCCGCATATGCGGAGCCATATACGGGGCTGGTCATAGTACTGCTGAGTGTCAATCAGACAATAAGACATGCTGTTTGTGCAAGGCAAATCACGCTGCAGACGATCCTAACTGCCCTGCAAGATCAAAGGAACTTCAGGTGATTGAAATCATTGAAAAGAGACGATGCTCTCGTAGAGAAGCAATTGCAGAAATTCAAAGCAGGAGTCAGGGTTATGCCGGTATAGCAGCTCGTCCACCTCTTTCTATGAATGCATCACTTTCTCAGTCCATTTCTGCTATGGTAGAAAAGGCCGTAGAAAAAGTATTAGAAAAATTTTTACTCAATCTGTCCGACTCACTCAATAGTATTATGGATTCACAGATGTCGGGTGCATCGGATCGAATAACTAAGCCTATCCAACCTCCTAGTGCCTCAATTAGTAAACCTGCCGAACATCAGTCAGATGTCTCTATCAATAATGAGGCAATGCTTTCCAGTCCTAACACAACTGAGCAGGAAGGTATATCTGATTCAGAATCAATAATTAATCGAGATGTAGATATGGATGCTCGCCTTTTGAAACGCACCAGATCACCCACTAGCAAACTTAATAATTCTTCTCATACAAAAACAAAAAAGAGTGTGAAGGAACCTAGGACTAAAGCGGACTTCTTAAAAGATAGTATCTTAGATCAAGCAGTTGCTACTGCTTGCTTATCATCATAGGGTACCTTAGAGTACTTCAGTGGAACTGTCGTTCAATTCTCTCTGCAACTACAGACTTATTATACCTAATTTCTCAACAATCTCCAGACTTCATAATTTTACAAGAAACTTGGCTGTCTGCTGATCAAAACTTCTATCTAAAAGACTATCATTGCTTTCGACTGGACCGAGACTCACGTGGAGGAGAATTAATGTTTTTCATTTCATCCAAAATTTGCCATAAAGCACACTTAGTTAACCAACAAATATCACACGATTATGAAGTATTGGTTCTGGAAATTCACTTTCCCGGATGCGCGCCACTATCTATAGTCAACAACTACTTTCCGGCTGGAATACAAGATGAAAGAGCCCTTGACGTGACTGCGAGTTTTTGCAGAAACAGTATGCTATTTGCGGGAGACTTCAATTCCCATCACGTTTCATGGGGATTCTGCACTGATTCATCAGGAAAACGGTTGTGGGACTGGACTAATCAGAATAACCTTATTTGTTGGAACTCCAGAGTTCCGACATTCGTTCGATGTAATTCGAGGTCCGTCTTAGATTTGACATTTGCTAGCTCAAGTGTGACAATATCGTCTTGGACTGTTCTTGATACTGCTACAAGTAGTGATCACTGCCCCCTGGTATTTGAAGTCAGCATTCCTTTGGCGACGGTAGATCGCCAGGTGCAAAGTTTTGTAAACTACTCTAAATTTAAAAAGAACTTACAGTCAACGCTGTCTTCCTTGCCCAATATGGAAGCAAATATGAAAGCTATGAGCCTTTGTTCCACCCTAAAGTGTACAATTAAAAAATCACAGTTCACTATATCTTCAACAAAGGGAAAATTCATATCTGCCTGGTGGAATGCGGATTGCGGCAGAGATTATAGGCGCCGCAACGCTGCATGGAAAAAACTCCTCACCAACCAATGTCCGACTAATTTGAGAAATTATTTATTTGCTAAAGCTACCTTTAGGAGAACAGTTTCATTAGCGAAAGACGATTATGAAGAAAAACGGTACAGCTACTCATCCAAGAGTGGCAACAAGAAAGCTCTATTCAGATTTCTCCGTAATCGTAAACCAATTACAGCACACGCAAATATTGACTCCGTTATTTTTTCTCCAACTGAGTTGGAAGATACATTAACGGAAATTGCAATAGAATTGGAGAAGAGATTTGCATCACAAATCAAAATAAAGTGTGCAAAACCGTCATTCGGAAATGATTTTATTGAAGTAAGTAGGGATGAACTTGCGCACGTCGTTCGTATTCTGCCGAACACAGGTCCTGGACCAGATGGCGTCACTTCAGAAATGTTAAAAATATTATTCGACATCTCTCCTGAAGACCTCCTTAACCTTGTCAACTATTCACTTGAAAATAGTTGGATACCTCCTGACTGGAGACTTGCAAAAATAATACCGCTTTTTAAAAAACAGGGACTAGGAATGCAGATAGACAACATTAGGCCAATCGCTTTAACATCACACGTAGTTAAGTTAATAGAAAGAATACTTTACATTAGAGTTACGAAGTTCATAACAGATAATGCGATACTCAGTGCGTGCCAGATTGGATTTAGACCAGGTTACTCTATATGGTGGGCGCATGTTGATTTAGAGGCTCGTATAAAGCTTGCTCGGCACAGACGACAATATGCGGCCCTAGTAACCCTTGATTTAGCCAAGGCATATGACAGTGTTGAACATGCTATTCTTATCAATGTCCTAAAAAAGCTTACGTTCCCGCAGTACATAACAAATTGGATATACGAATTTTTAAAAGACAGAAAATTTTATTGCTTCCAACGAGGTGTTTCCACGCCGAAGTATAGCCAAACGAGAGGTGTTCCTCAAGGCTCTGTTCTATCGCCTGTGCTATTTAACATTTTGTTAAGTTCAATACCACAGAGTGATAAAGTACACGTATATGTATATGCAGATGATATCTCGTTCTTTGCATCTGACAACGATATTTATTCACTACATTCGACTTTACAGTGTTATTTGGCAACATTGGAAACCTGGTTTCAGAAAATTCATATGAACCTGAACGCAACTAAAAGTGCTATAATAGTTTTTCCGTTGGACGCACCAGTTACTATTTCTCTTCAGTACCATCAAGAAATAATACCCCAGGTTAATTGTATTAAATATCTGGGTGTACTGTACGATCAAAAACTGAGCTGGCGTGACCACATTGAATATATTAAAATTAAGGCTACACGCGCTGTTGGAATGATAGGTAGGCTTGACCGCCTCCGTTCCGGTCTTCGCAGAGATACGCTGATCATGAATTATCGCATGTACGTTCGTCCGATTCTTGAATTCGGATGTGTACTATTCTCTGGTGGACCAGCATACAAAATAAACCCCCTCATTCTCTTAGAGCGGGAAGCCCTACGTAGTTGTTTAGGTGTGCCGAAATTCACAGCTAACAATGTTTTGTATCAAGAAGCTCGGATACCCACCCTTGCTTGCAGATTTCGTATTTTAACAGTAAACACCTATTTAAAATTTTCTGAATCCACTTTAAGAAGGTGACAATTTGTATTCTTTGCCGAGCCTGGTGTCTTTTTCAATGAGCATTGGTCCCGTGTATATAAACCCCAAGTGCTATTTGTTCAAACACTTCTAGATGCTTTAAATGTTAATATATTCGAGATCACACCATCTGTCAAACCAATCGGCCAAGTGCAAATAGAATTTGACGATATCTTCCCCATGAACGCTAAACACTTGCCCTCTAAATATTTGATTGGTTTATTAGAACAACACCTGTCTCAATTAGGTACTAATACAGTAATTGAACGGATGCATCTATGAGTGGCGAGAAGGCAGGTGTGGGTATTTTTTCTCTCTCATTATTCTGGTCATTTTCATTACGCCTCCCAGATTATACACCAATATTTGAAGCGGAATTAATGACCGTTATAATAGCTCTTCGTAAACTTCCTGCGACTCATTCGACAGCTGTGATAGTGACTGACTCGTATTCCGTGTGTTCATTCTTATCATCGTTGTCGACATCAGCAGTACTAGGGAATTTTAAATCATTAATCTCAGCAAACATTCGTCTAGTGCGAATGATATGGGTGCCAGGCCATCGTAGTATATTTATAAACGAGATGGCTGACAAACTTGCGCGAACATCTCTTGATCTTCTGATTGTGCCAATCATGCCTCCTATAGCTTATGTAACAGCAGCGAGGTTTAGAAAACTTTCCCTTCTTGAAGACTCATCAAAAACCATGATACCGAATCCAGATTTCTCGCACCTGCACTTCACATGGAATAATAAATGGTGTCTCACGCGTAAATTGGAAATCTTGGTAACAAAATTACGTTGCCGTGTACCACCTCTTAATTTCTACTTAAACAGGCCTGGTCTGGTGCCATCCCCACTGTGCTCAAGCTGTAACGAACCTGAACATATCGACCATTTTCTTATCACATGTCACCGATTCAAAAATCAAAGAAAAAACTGCTCCGAAATTTTATTCAGAAAATTAGGAATATACCTTAGTACTCCCAATAGTTTGTCTTTTGGGGCCACTTTATTGGGACACAGCGACAGGAACATCTGTGGGGCTCTCTCCGAATTCATATATAACACAAGAAGATTACCTTGCTGAGTCAGCGATCAGCTATCGAATTTTACTAGTCACACTACCACTTATTATTTAGCTGATACACTGCACTGATTCAACTTTCAGGAGAATTTCATATAACGATTCCACCACAGATATTCAACAAATTCTATTATTTCTCCCCCCCCTTTTTTTTCTTCTTTTTTTCCTGACATTGCGCCAAATTAATTTCACAGTCAAAACACAGTAATCATATTCCCCTAATCTAGAAAATCTATAGGTATTTACTTGCATTAACCACCGGCTTCTTGGCCAGTCCCCCTTAGTGGGTGAGAGCCACAAAAGAAAGGGACAAGCAAGCAAGCAAGCGGCAGCAGCCGGGGCAATAATGGTGGCCCAGTGTAGCGCAGCCGAAGCGGCCGAGCGTCCATGTCCGCGCTAGGCCTGGGTCTCTTGTTCGGTGGCGCGGTGGTGGAGCAGGCGGCGGTGGTTGGCGGCGGCCGCAAGCGGCAGTTATGAGTTCCCGGGAGTGCACCGCGATGCACCTGTCGCGGACGCGCTCCCTGATCGCCAACATGAATGGCTCGGCGCCTTCGTCGGAGGCCGGCTACATCGAGAAAACCGCCGCCAACAACAATAACTCTTCGGCACTCTGTGGAAACGGCGGGGGCAACGGGCGCAGTCTACTGCTGCCACCCATCAAGAGCCAGACCATCGTGGGCTCCAAGTTCCAGTCGAGCGTGCACAAGCAGTTCGACGTGGACCAGAACGGCGACTCGCCCGACAACAAAGCGGTCGCCGTTGTCGGAAGCGGCGGCGGCGGCGCGGGGAAAACATTGGCGGCCACGCCGGAGCAGGTGATGAAGATGTACATGCACAAGCTGAGCCCGTATGAGCATGAAGTGATATTTAACTATCCGCAGATCTACTTCTTAGGCGCCAACGCCAAGAAGCGCCAGGGAGCGCCGGAAACCCCGAACAACTGCGGCTACGACGACGATCAAGGTTCGTACCTCCACATTACGCACGATCACATCGCGTACCGCTTCGAGATGCTCAAGGTGCTGGGCAAGGGCTCCTTCGGCCAGGTCGTCAAAGCGTACGACCACAAGCAGCACCAATACGTGGCCCTCAAGATGATTCGCAACGAGAAGCGATTCCACCGGCAGGCGCAGGAGGAGATTCGCATACTGGGCTTCCTGCGTCGCGAGGACCGCGACAACACGTTCAACCTGATCCACATGCTGGAACACTTCACCTTCCGCAACCACACGTGCATCACATTCGAGCTGTTGTCCATCACCCTGTACGAGCTGTTCAAGAAGAACAAGTTCCAGGGCTTCTCCATGCGGCTGGTGCGCAAGTTCACCCACTCGCTCCTGCAGTGCCTGGACGCGCTGCACCAGAGTCACGTCATACACTGCGACCTGAAACCCGAGAACGTGCTGCTCAAACAGCAGGGTCGATTGAGCATCAAGGTCATAGACTTCGGGTCATCGTGTTTCGAACACCAACGCGTCTACTCCTACATCCAGTCGCGCTTTTACCGAGCGCCGGAGGTGATACTGGGTGCAAAGTACGGCATGCCCATCGACATGTGGAGTCTCGGTTGCATCCTAGCCGAACTACTCACGGGGCACCCACTCTTTCCTGGTGAGGACGAGGCCGATCAGCTGGCCTGCATCATGGAGTTGCTAGGCCCGCCGCCTCAAAAGTTACTCGATCAGGCCAAGTGGGCCAAGAACTTCATCAGCTCCAAGGGCTACCCGCGCTACTGCAGCGTCGCTACGCTACCCTTCGGCGCCGTACTTCTAGGCGCGGGACGGTCTAGACGCGGAAAGCTGCGTGGTCCTCCGGGCTCCAAGGACTGGTCAAGCGCCCTCAAAGGTTGCGACGACCCCATGTTCGTGGACTTCCTCAAGCGGTGCTTGGAGTGGGACCCCGCGACGCGCATGACTCCGGCGGCGGCGCTGCGGCACGCCTGGCTCCGACGTCGGCAACCGCGTACCGCTAAAAAAATCGGAAATCATCAACACGTACCTAAACCACAGCAACCAGAGCACTACATCAAGAAATAAATTTGACAACATAGTATATAGTATTCTGGTAGATATCTCTAATGAATTATGTGATGCCTTCTTTTATGGTGCTATTGATTCTGCTTCCTCATTCTTTTTTTTTTCCCGACCACTACAGATGAAGTTTTTTCGACAATCAAGGCTGTTAACGCCACGAGTACTGGACTTGATAATATGAAAGCTAACCATAATAAATGATCGCAGAACACATTGCTCACGTTCTTTCATCTGTCATCAACCTCGTTTTTAAATCTGGTGTTTTTCCTCGTGAAATAAAACGTGGTCGCGTCATCCCTGTTTTCGATAAAGATGAGGGTACACTATTACAGAATTATAGACCCACTTGCGTTCTTCTAATTTCGAGCAAAATACTCAAAATAATCAAAAAATAAATCACAAGTTGTTTAAATTAAAGCTATATTCTTTCTGCCAATCAGTTCGGCTTTCTCTCCGGCTTTCTCTCCGGCTTTCAACAAATATACTTCTCATAACACTTACCGATTACCTCAAAAAGGCGATTCATCTAAGTGAATTTGGAGCATTCATATTCATAGACTACTCTTAAACATTTTACACTATTATTCTTCCCATACTTTTCGCAAAACTCAAAGCTGTTAGAATAACCAGTCAACCTTTGCTCCTTATCCGCAGTCATTTACAGGATAGAACAAACCGTCGATATATCTGGTTTTTACTCTAAATAAGCAGTGGCTAACACACGTGTACCAAAGGGGTCTATATTAGGTCCCCTACTCTTCTTATTTTATATTATTGACTTGCCGCCTTGCCCTTTTTCATCTAATTGTATTTTATATGCTGACAACACGATGATATTTATATTCTAGTCACTGCGTATCTACGCTAATAAATAAGCTAAATGAAGATTTTTTGAAAATATGTAGGTGTTGTGAAAATAATTTCTAATAAATCATAATAAGACCAAATATGTAATCTTTTCCTCGCATCAGCATTCATTCACTCTTACTCGAAACATTTCCATCAACAATCACACAATCTCTTCAGCTAACGATTTTACGATTTTAGTTGTCGATCTTGATCGCCACCTTAAATTTCATCTACACGTCTCTAGCGTTAAAAAGAAACTGGCCTACGGTATACGCATTCTCATCGAAATTCGGCTGCATTTCTTCTTTTCTACCATCATATCCCTTTGCACTGCAATTTCATTTTATTTTTTGATTATGTTTGGCGCCCTACTCTTCTTACTCTTAATAACTTAGCCACATTACTTTTCTTTTTTTTTCAATGATTTTGTTAATGCTGTTCGTTGATTTGCTTTTTTGTATTATATTACCTTATGTTATTATTAAGCCTCCATGTTGCCATTTTGTATATATAATTCATCATGTTATCATGCAGAGGAGGACCCATTTCAGTTTGGGACTACGGGACCTCCTTCTGAATACTTTTACGTTGTACCTAATCGTTTGTTCATTTCGAAATGCATGATTCTGATTCCTTTTTTTTCTTGGAATGTAATACTGAGTGCCTTGGAATTATGCCACACGAGCTTGACGCGTTTCTAACAATGGCATCGTAATTCGTGTCTCAAGGGGCTAAGTAGAGGGTTGTGTGGCACTTTATTAGCACTGTGGAATACCACCTGACCGCCTATGAGCTCTCAAGGTCCCCTGACTCGTAGCTCGCCGGGCTTTCTTTTCCAAACTGTTTGAAAGTTCAGAAAAAAAAAACGTCAGGTCTGCGTGGTATGCGCAGCACAGTAGCAGAAAAAGCTAAAAGAGCGGCCTTTCAGAGCCTTTTCTAAACACTCATTGGGTAACTGTTGCAAGCACACTTGCTTGATACCCACTACGGCATTAATAATAAATATTTTGTGTATTAGGCCAGCGTTCGGTGTGCTATTTTTCATCATTCTTCTGAGAATCGCGGTATCCGCTAAACACTTGCAAGAGATTTTGTGCCAATGGTTTACGCAGTGGGTGACGACGATGAGGAATCATGCCTGAAGTGAGCATGCGCCACAGTTAATAGTAGAACAAGAACAAGGTTTTGTAATGAGTTGGAGCTTTGGACGACACACTCATTACGCTATTCGTATCGTACGACGACTGGTTGTTGTTTTGCTGTTTTATAACGCTTTACAAGTCGTATTAACGCGATCACTTTCCCGACATCAAGCTTCCCAAGGCAAGTTTGCCAACGGGTCTCACGCACCAGCGTGGCTCAGTTCGTGCTTATAGAAGTTCGTGCTATAGCTTTAGAAATTGGGGCTGTAAGTCTTTCTATAGAAAGAATGATGAAAAGATACTTGTTAAAAGTCTTTGCAATCTTTATGAGATGGAATGCGAAATGCCGAGAAAGTACATCAAAAACATTCAGAATATTAAGTGCCAACTACAGAGATATGATGCTGCTCGCTACCAAGGGGCACGCATTAAATCTCGGAACCAGCGCACTTTAAATTCTGAGCAACCGACGTGCCAAGCTTTACTTGATGAGCAACGCCATGCAATTTCTAAAGTTATTCCAGACTTGTACTTTAACGATGTGCTCATAAAAGACAACGGAGACATTATTTTGGCGTTCGAAACGTACTATAACAGTTTATTTAGCGCTCCCTCTGATGATCTTGACGCTCACATCAAGGCTAGTTTTGTTTCTCTTGTGAACCCCTTGAAGGACAATGATTGTGCAGTCATTAATGGGCCCATTACTATACAGAAAATCGAGCAAGCAATCGGCAACTTGCTTTTATTGAAAACACCTGGCCCTGATGGCATCTCAGGTGAATTTTACAAAGCTTACAAGAAAACACTTGCTCTTATATTGCTTAATATTTTCAGATGAGTTATGACATAGATACACTCCACAATCTTTTTGCAAAAGCCACACTGTGTTAATACCGAAAACAACTGACAAGGAAAAACTTCGCTTTGTCGAGGGCTACAGACCAATATCGCTGTCAAACGTGGACTACACAACTTTTGCAAGAGTATTAGCAAATAGGTTGAAGTTTGCTATGTCGATCTTCATTGGGTCTCATCAGACATGTGGGATCACAGGTCGATCCATACAAACCAATATACATGTGACTCGAACAGTGCTTCAATACTGTCTTGGTTCTCAAAAACATCTTGCAATGCTACAGGTAGACCTTGCAAAAGCTTTTGATCGTGTTTGTCATTCCTTCCTTTTTTCTCTTCTTGAACAAGCTAATGTTAGAAAAGTTGTTCTTAAAGGCGTTAAACTATGCTATAATGGATGCTCGACTCGTCTGATAGTTAATAGTCAACTCTCCAAGCCAGTTTCTATTCGCTCTTCTGTAAAACAGGGATGCCCAATGTCACCTCTTTTATTTGCACTTTATCTAGAACCACTGTGCTTAAGCATAGTACAGTCGAGTTGCATTCGTGGCTTTAGTATATTAGGCAGTGAAGTTAAAGTATTGGCTTATGCTGACGATGTCGCATTCTTTTGCACAGATAAACCAAGTGTCGAAAATGTGGTATATACTATTAAAAAGTTTGGCGTAGTATCGGGAGCTCGTTTAAATGCCTCTAAAAGTTTAGGACTGTGGTTTGGCTTGTGAGGTAGCACACCGAACCACTTTGCAGGGATTAATTGGACAAGAACTCCTCCAACATACCTCGGTGTACCATTACATGCATATAGATTCAGTGCGCTATACTGGAAGGAACGCGTCCCTAAGCTTGAACGACAGGCCCAGACATTTGTTCCCTATCGACTTTCGATATTTGGGAGAGCTGAAGCTTGCAAATCTTTCTTAGCGACAAAGCTTTACTATGTATTGCAACTTATTCATTGCGCAAGATTCTATATACAACGCTTTCATCGGATTTTCGCTACTTTCATATGGTCTTCGACTTTTGAGCCCATGCGTCGTGATAACTTATTCATGCAAGTTAGTGAGGGCGAGTTAGGACTAAAACACCTTTATCTATGGCAAATAGTGTCCCGATTCTTCTTTTTTTGAGACAATTCCCATCCTGTAATCCGTTCCTTCTTGCAGGTTACACATGTTGATTGCTTACCAGATTTAATTGTTTCATCCAACTTCTCCGAACGCCCATGCTTGTGGGTATTCATGTAGGAAGTTTAACTCGGAGCTCAGTTCCTTAAAGCTCGCTTTTCTGTAGAATACCTGTACACAGCATCGCGCAAGGAGCTGTATAAGGACCTACTGAGTACACTCTTCCCACCTCCATTGTACCGTTCACTGTACGCCAATCTTCCAGGCCACGATGTGTTGAAGCGAGTGCGCAAAATGTACATTCCACCGAATTCAAAAACATTCTTCTATAAACTCCACTCTGAAACATTGGCGGTAAACACATGGTTAGAAAGAAAAGGTATTTTCATTCCGTCTGTTAACTGCCGTCTATGTGATGTGCCGGAAACTATTGAACATTGCTTTGTTAGCTGCAAAGATGCCATACTCTTTTGGGATGTCCTTCAGCGAGCACTGAAGAAACGTTTCGTCATTAGTTCTTACACAATACGCTATCTTTTGCCAGCAGCGCTTGATGAAGTACCATATGATATGTTTTTCCTCATGGGTATGCACAGCTTCTGGAAGACACGAATGCAAGACCGCAATGCAGAGCCCACCACTTCTTCAAGCGCACACTTCATTCAAATGGCTATCCACCTGGAAAACATTTACGACAAGCTAGACTTTAGACCGGACTGGTACTCCGTCTTAGAGAACTGCTTCACCTCACCCCTTTTTTGTTTGTATAACACAATGTGAAGAACTCTTCATGTGAGGAACTCACGCTGTGTTAGCCATTTTGTGTTTATGAGTACCGCTCGAGCGCTTAATTTGGCGATTTGATTGTACTTTTGTTCGCTTGATTTTGTCTTTATTGCGCAAGTACTTTATTAAATACCACGAAAAAAAAACCAGCGTGGCTCAGTGGTAGA